TGAAAGAAAAAAAAAACACTTTTCCATCATCTATGGCGCACTTACTGTACATACTAACAAACACGTTGCAAATGAATAAATGCCCCTCGACATTTTGACATTGCCTCCATTTCTTGCTCAGCCCACCTCAGTCAGTACTTTATAGAAACAGCTTTTACTGCAAATTAACCTGCAAGTCTTTTGGCTTGGATCTGTGAACATTCCTTTTCAAGTCTTGCCACATATTCTCCATTACATTTGGGCCTGGACTTTGAGTGGGTAATTTTAACTCATGTTTATGCGTCGATCTACACCTTTGTATTGTACCACTGGCTGCATGTTCAGGGTACCTGTCTAGGTAGAACATGAACCTTCTTGCTCCAGTCTCAGTACTTTTGAAGCTTCTAACAAATTTTCTTCTGGATTTGCCCCGTGTTTAGCTCCATCCGGCATCCCAGTAACTCCAACCAGTTCCCTGTTCCTGCTGAGAACAAACACGCCTATAGCATGGAGCTGCCACAACAATGTTTCCTGGTATGCTCTGGGTATTCAGGGTCATGCACAGTGTTTGTTTTCCTACTTGCTCAGCATTTTGTATGTAGGCAAAAAAATATATATATTTTGGGTCTCATCTGACCAGCCAACAAAATGTCTTGAGAATTTTTTTTGTTTTTAAGATGACCTATTATGCTTCATTAAAAAGGTTAAAGGCTATTTTAACCTTTGGGCAAGACAAAACATATTCATTACATTTTTTTGCACAAATCATTTTTAGATTATGAGATTATAGTCCCCTCAGTTCAACCTATTTTGAGTTCCTTCCAGAAGGAACTCTTTTAGGGCTCTGCCACTTTAAATCCAAATAAGCTTCTGCTGGCCACACCCCTCAACTGAATGTTTACACTGATGTGAAAATGACTGAAAACAGATGAGCAATCATTCAATTGTACGTCTTTGAAATCAAAAGTAGACCCCGCTGCACAACCAACCAAGGCTGCAGAAAGAGGTTTCAAAATGGTAAGTCAACACCAAAACACTTGTCTTTTCCAGCAGTCATTATACAGAGCATACAATGGTAAAACCAGCTGACCAAATGTGCTGGAGCTCCACTTGGGTTGCGAGTTGCTTGGTATTCATCTAATGTGACTAAACATTGATGAGCTTTGGAAATGACTTGTTTTCTAGACACCACAAAACATTAACTTATTGCCCCCAAAAATTGTGGGTGTTGTTTTTAGAAGCAGTTGAGACCCAAATAGAAGTACAAAAATGTGCAAAATGTGAATTTTGCACATTTCTTTTGCTATTCTAATTCATTTCTCAAGAAATGAATTAGAACAAACTTAAAATCTAGACAAACTCGTCTAGGGAAACTACTCATTACATTAGATCAACATTTGGGACTACCTACATTACACAATCAAACATGGAGAACCAACACTTGTGTTACTTTAGACCAATATTTAGCTTGTTATTGTCCTGAGAAACTTCTTTTAGCTTATAAGTTATGGAGTACATATACTTATAACATCTAGTTTATATATTCAGGAATTAGAATGAACTTAGAATCCAGAGAAACTCCTATTGGCTTATCTTTTCTTTTGCTCTTTCCTTTGGTTTGTTGTTTTTTGTATTTCCTTCTAATTCATGTAAAGCACTATGAATTGCCTTGTTGCTGAAAATGTGCAACATAAATAAAATTACCATACTTTACCTAGGTCCCCTTCGAAATTAACTTTTAAACCACTTATCCTCAAAGACTCAAAGATTTTTGGAATCCATGACTCATAGTTGTCCTGCCAATAGATTCACTCACCTGAGTTGTGGTTCTCTGCAGCTCTTCCTTTCTGCTTTATTTCTTGGTTTCCATGATGCTGTTTGATCGCTAATGTTCTCTGAGGTCTTCCAAGAACAGCCATGTTTACAATAAGCATCACAATGGGACTCTATTTTCAAAATAAAGGTCTCCTGAAGACAATTTTTATTTTTTTTTTTACAGAATTTAATTTTGGAGTATCAAACAAAAGGAAGCTTCAGACAAATGCATGTCATGTTTGTCAGATTTTCCCTCGCAGAAAATCTGAATCCGTGTCATAATTATGAACAACTCAGGAAAAGAAAAAAAAAAGAAAACACTTAAGTTTGTGGTTAAAGCATGACAAGGTGGTGAAAAATTCAAGCAGGGTGAATACCTGGAAGGCACTCTTAAGTTTTAAGAGTAATTTTTGCTGTTCATTTCATTACTCGTGTCAGTTCTATCACACCAGTCTTCTCCATCAAGGAGAAACCTGAGAGGGCCAGAGCAGGCGCGCCTGCACCTGGCCGAGCCGGGCCTTTTATTTACAGCCATGGTGAGGATCAAGCTCTGACTGGCTCGGACACCTGCTATTGGCAAATATGTTCTCCATCAGTGAACTATAGACTTTTTTTTTTTTCTGAACAGGAGGACTGGGAGACCATTGTTCTCTCCAGCAGTGACAGCCAAGGTATTCTGGGATTTCTAGGCACTCGTAGGAAACAATGTGTCATTCATGTTAACTTTAAAAAGTGGACTGCATACTCACAACAAATTGTGGTTGAAGTTGTGAATCTGGACGCTGAAAAGTCGCTTAATATCGTTTGGAGTTAAATCACTTTAGATTGTAACGAATTCATTTGCAACCCAATGGATACTTGCAATTAACACAACAACAATGACTCAACACACCAGAATATAATTCCGGTCCCAATATGACTGAACCCACATGCATTTATAAAAATACCTGCCTTCTTAGTAAGCATTAGCTATGGTCTCAAGTTAAACACAAAACAGTGGAGCTCCTTATTCCCCCCAGTCTGACACATGATATGTGCTTTTTAAACAAATCACCTGGTCTCTGCTTCTATACAGTCTTATATAAGACCACGGAGTTTGAGGATTTTGCAATGTCATCTGGGATTAAAAAGGGGCAGCACATCAGAGCCCCAGGCCACACCACCTGGAGACCCTCTCCCCCACCTCCCCCAATCGATCCCACTGCATTCAAAGCCATCCACGTTAGACTGCTGCCAAAAAATACTCGGTCGACCAAACGACACTGAGCTCACAAAGCCCCGCTTCAGAAAAGATTACAACTTCAACAAGAAACTCTTTGATTGCAGGTTTGCTTGAAACGTTATCAATATCATGATCATTCCTGCGGATCAACATAAAAGCATCTCTAATCACCATACTTTTGGCTGCACCTTCACTTGTGTGTTGGTCTCCTGAAAAAAAACAACCAGAAAATAAAAAAAATGCGGGGATGGGGAGGTGGGGAACTCACTGTGGAGTATAAAACACTGGCTTGTTTAACAAGACACGTGCAATGACAAAGCGATTCCTCTCTCAATGTTGATCACCCACCTGCACACAGATTAGGTCAGATATTTACCTGAGCTGCCAAGTTGTCACTCAGGCTAGTAAGAAAAAAAAAGAGAACAAAAAAAAGAAAAACAGAAATCCACACAGTGCACATTCATCCTTCCTTCTTGTCTTCGGGAAGAACAGATAAAGTCCTGCAGAGAATAGAGAACAGGGGCTTACTTGTCCTTTTCGCTATCATGGAAACAGGCAGCCAAGAATTATTACTCAGATTAAACACAGCATAAACAGTACAGTGTTTAAAAAGAGACTAACCATCAACACTGAAATGGATAGAAAACGGTCAGACAAGTTGAATCTTTACTGTTGTCACATTAGGCCTGAGTGGTATTAGCAAAATAAGTGATTTGTGATGTGATTGTAATGTTTAACCCATATTTTCTTCACTGGTCTCTAGATATTCTATTCTCAAAGTGTCCACGCACCATGAGCATCAGTATCTTGGTCACTAATATCTACATCAGGTGTGGGGATCCAGTGATAGTTCGTCTAACTGGCCAAATATGCAGAGAGGATATGCATGACATGTGCAATATACTGTATTAACATACAAAACTTTGAATACTGAAGACATTCATGTTCTGTATAATTTCTCATAAAAATCCTACACTATTCCTTTTTTTTAGTCTTTGTTTACCTGTCGTGGTCTACAATACATGTACAGCAAAATACTATAACATGTTCAGGCATAATTTGGTCTTTGAAACTTTTGCAGGTGTTTTTGCTCTCATTAAATATTTCTATTACAAATCCAGTTAATCTGATGAGCTCGCCTCAGTTTGTTTCGTCAGATTGGCCTCTGGCGCCACTCTGTGGAATCAATGCAGAAGTGAAGTACAATTGTATCTCAAAACTCTTCCGTCGAAAGTCACTTTTGTCGAATATACAAAAGAGCAGAAGACATTCTTACAGCTTATTTTCCTTTATTATGGTTGGCACTAAGTTTATTTTTCATTCCTTTCATTGAGCTTTTACCCAAACAGTTGCACACATAGATCGCAGACTTCACACAAGAAAACACACACACACACACACATAAATTCACAGTTTTGTCAGACTTACGTTTTCAAAACGACAAATACGGAAACCTATTAAAACAAATGAACGATGCAACATGCAAGGTTCCAAATAAAAAAAAGTGTAATTTAACACTTTTTTGGGGGTCAAATTACATTTTCAATTTAGATTTTGTTTGTTTATATTATTATTATTATTATTATTATTATTATTATTATTATTATTATTATTATTAAAAATAGTGTCTTTATTATCGTTCTCTCATGTACAATGCTTATATACTGATATAAACAACATATTGTTTCCTCTTGGAGCAACAAGAAGAAACAGAAACTCATTCAGTAAAACCCCATAAACTTGCACATTTGATCCTGTTCTGTTCTAGATCAAGTTACCACAGAATAAATATTAACTTTTTTACTGTAGTTGGAAAAAAGAAAGTTAGACTAAACTGCACAATGTAATTTATTTTTTCATGAAACATAACCTTCAAACCATCAGTTAAACTACTTCAAAGAAAAAGACACGAGCTTACTCTATTTTTCCTTTTCTGCGAGTGCACGTCCCCCACTCCGTCATACATTAAGAACATAATATGTCACCGTACAACACTGACACAAGCAAGGGAGGGGCTGCTCTGCTGCAAGATACATTAGATAGAATGAATGCAACGAGCCTAAAGAACACTTCCTGTTGATGCAAAAATTGCAGCAGAAACTGCCTGACACATCTGGACTTGGAAAAGGGGGGGAGGCCTGGCTGTAGTGTTAGCGAGCTGCTGAGGGGAATGGACAACATCTAAATGCCAACCTTCAAGACGGTGAGTGTGGTGGACTTCGTCTTTGGCATGGACTGGTGACCGTAGTGCGTTTGTAATGTCGGCACGTCGGTGCCTTTTCAGCGTAAGTAATGGCGAAATAATTACCTACGACCGTACGCTAGCTGCTATCTACTAGCCAGCATTAGCCTGTGGGTAACGCTCGGCGCTGAAACGAAAGTGACTAGTAAACTACGGCTATCCGTTAGCACTGGCTAACTAGCATTATAGCGGTGTAATATTATAGCCGACATAGTTTCCACCCGCGTTCGACGTTATAACTTGGTTATTAACTCTCAAAGGCTTGACAGTTATCAATATAGTAATGAACTGGAGCCTAAGATTCATGCTTGAATGACACAATTTGGAACAATTTGCTAAAGTAGTCCATTTCTCTATGAAACTTGATTGTAGGCTAGCTAGTGTAGCTAGTTAGCATCTGCTTGTTTGATGCTTAACACCCGGGTTGTCCAGCCCACTGAATCGGCTGAAAGTGGTTAAGTAACTTTAACCTGACTTTAAGCTTTTTGTTGGAGTGAGATATAGTCGGTACTTGAAATTAAAATGAGCTCGACGTGACAGTGAAGCTAGCGTCAACGATAGCAGCTTTGCTGTTTAGACCCTCTCCTCCTCCCCCATCATTACCCGCTGTACATTAAAGTTTGAAGCTGTTCCTATTTCTTCTTATGTGCCTTGGCAGTCGACACATAAGAGTGTGCACTGTATGCCTCGACGCTTTCGTGGACTTGTAGGAGGGTGTTATTATTTATAAACGCAACTCCAGATTGAAAGTAGTTAATTTATATATGTGGTGTAAAGTAAAAGGTTTTTTGATAAACTATGATATGATAACTAAAATATGATATGGCACCAGGGCTGCATTTAGATTCCATCTGTCAAAAACTTCACTGGGTTTCCTGGGGCGTGAGGTGGGCCAGCAGATATGGCAGCACACTTTGTTACAATTTGTTCTAAGAAAGTGAGATATGGCAGGACAAAGTGCAGGGACATGGCATATTATTTTTCAGTAAACCTAGGTCTCCTGGGTCACTGAAGGTAGGGTTCACTTCTGTATATATTTGACAGTCATTTGTTCTTCAATTCAATAAAAAATTATCCTTAGAAAAGAATCAGTATTAATGTTGACATTTGCAACTGTTGCCAAGCTTATTTAAACAGAAACATTCGCCAGATTAGATTGTTGCTGCCAAATGAGTTGCAGTGTTTGTTTACAAGTGCTTTGTGGTATTGAACCCCCACATTCTTTTGTTATTACAGCTCTGTGTTTGCTTTATGTGGTGAGTAGTTAAATTGTATTGATTCTAATTCTGTTTGTGTTTTATTATTTTTCACTGAGAGGCATAGAGCAAACTGGTCAGCATTCAAATACTCAAAAGATGCAACAAATGGCTAATTTTCGGTTCTTCTTTTGAGTTTAGTGCAAATCAGATCAAGGTTTGTTGATAGGAAAAGATCTTGCTATCACTTAATTTTCTGCTTCATCTATAAATACTTTTTCTACAAGTGATCTTATATATATTTTTCTTTAGATATAGTCCTTTAAAACAAACAAACAAAAAAATAAATAATTTTGCAATCAGCTTTCAAAGAAAACCGGATCAGCCAGGTATCAGTCAGAAGGTGGTGACTGATAAAGGCCATTAAAACATTAATGGCCTTTAAAATGCTTCACACCACAAGCCACATTCCCATATTTTTAGCTCTCTTTTTAGTCTATGCATAGAGCACTGTCCTCTACATTTTCACTTTGCACTATGAAAACCCATTAAGGTTTAATTCCACCAACCAGTTATGACTCCTCCCATCCCTCTAATTGCCCTCCTGCTAAAAGAGGACTACAGTAAAAGTTATTGTGCATTTAGATATTTACAGCAACTGAACAGCAAGCGGTCACTTTACTTGCACTGACTTCTGTTTTAAGGGTGCTGTATCAAATTTAATTTGTTTTACCCAACAGGAACCTTAGTCGGTCCACTGTCTTAATTTGGTTGGCTAATCTTTAAATTTATTGGTGTTTTTATTAATAAAAGCACAATGCAAACTAAATCAAATGTAAAACATTTATTAGGGATGTTTGTTGATGGTGTCTTGTTTTAAAGCCGATGAGGAGGATAAAGACAGGCCCGAATGTTTTAAGATTCTAATTTTTCTTCATCTGCTTAACATGTATTTAGCCTGAAATGAAGAAAGAAAAGAAAAACGAGCTTCATGTATTCCAAGCAAATCCAAGAGAACCCACCCACAAGGCTCAACGTAAAACCTTCAGCGTGCCGTGCTGATTTCTTCTCGCTACAGAAGGCTGTGTCGTTTTCAGGATGTGTGTTATTTTCACTTCAGCAAAGTTATGCGCATCTTACTGTCCCCTAGGCTCTCCACGGTCTATTTTTATATGGGTGCTTTACTATCTGTTTTAAATTGTTCTTCATTCTGTGCTGGTTAAGCAGTTCTGTCCCACGTCTGGTGTGGCCCACAAACAGTTTTTCAAAAGTAGGCAAATGCTGCCTGCTGATGTTGAAGAAAGCATAAACTGCTTTCCTGCTGACTTTTTTTTTTTCCTCCTCTAAATGACAAGCTTTTTAATATATCTTTGTGGACCCACGTAGCAGCAGCATCAAGCTCATTATCTAGCAAGAAATATGAGCTTAGCTCCAATTGCTTTGTTTTTTTGCGTCCAAGCCAAGCATGTGATCCTCACACATCATGTACTTTCTAGTTACTGAGCTTACATTCTTTGTCTGCCTTTCCATTTGGCTCCACCCAGTTTACATGTAAAGAGTCTGTCAGTGTGAATATGTTTTATTTATTGATTGCAATGGCAGGAGTGAAAATCAACCCTCTTCCTATAGATATTTCTTGCGCCTCAATGCAGCCTCTGTGGCTAAGAATACAGGTTCATTGGACAGATGTCTTAAAAAGATGTCTTGGCAAGCTTTCGCAACTGGAGAAAGTGTTTACATCCCCGGTGTGCTGACAGTACTCAGTTTGCATAGGATAGTGCTGAATAGCCGGCAAGGGTTATGAGGGGAAAAATGTGGGGCGGTCGAGGAGGTAGGAGAGAACAGTGAAAGCTAGACAGTCTATCACAGCCTAACAGGATAGTCCAGCATATTTGAAGTGAGCGTCTGTCAAAGCTTTATAAGCAGTTAATATCTTATTTGAAATTGATAACTCTCTCTTGGCGTTTTAATTTGTTGAATAAAAAGCTTGTCCTAACAGACTTCCACTTTCTTGAAAAAAAACTCCATTCTCCAAAAGTTTTCTCATCAACCTCAAACTATTAGCATGTACGCACTGAGTGGCTGTTTACCAATTATTATAAACAGAGAAAATGACGGGAAGAGGTGGTGCACCAAAGACTTGCCTTTTTCAAACACCAAGAAAGTAACATTTTTTAAATCACAACTAAGTTGTTCCAGCCTCTTGGAAGAACTTATTTGTATTTACTTGCAATAAACATACTGGAGTTTGATTTTGAGGCCATTTTTTACATGTTTTTAAGAGTTAATGCCTAATTTCAAACCAGTGTTTTTGACAACCTAATGTCAGGGTAGGTGAGACTCAAACGGGATGTGTTAGTGAATGTAGAAGACGGTAACTTTGCAAACGTGTTAATTACCTCTTCCTGACTGTAAGTTATAATTTATAGTCATTGTTTTTTTTTAGGATGTATATCCTTAGAAGGCCTGCTGCGTAGCAGCTGAATTCAACTCATAGCTTTTTAGTAAATGTTGTCATAAGTGACAGAGTCTAGAAAGATTATCACACATAGGCAGTTGCCCCACATGAGTTGATCCTGGTTGTAGTAGCTTTTCTTTTCAAGCCTTCTGAAGAATAGTAGGTGCGTGCCGACCTTCTTTGCAGAACCAGATTTTCCTCTTTCTCTGGCAGGTACTGTATGTACACTATATCTTTTTCGGTCTGGCTCCAGTGACTAACGTTTCACTACAGTCACTGGCGGGTAGACTTTGAACAGCCATTTGCGTAAGTTTTATCTGCTTTCCCATCAATTTCCTTTTAAGGTGTAACTATGTACCCAGCACCTTTCTTTTTAACGCTAACAACACTATATCAAATTTTTATGACAAGATCATAATACACCTGCTCAGCATAACATGACCAAGATAGCCCTGAGCCATTATGATATGGGCTACACTAGACCACTAAGGGTGTGGTAACAGATTGTTGAAGTCCTATAAGTTGTGAGGTGGGACGCCCATCAACGGAAATCGTTTGTTCAGCATGATGTAAGATGTTCTATTGGATTGAGTTTTATGGAATTTGCTAGTTGTGCTTCTCAAACCATTTCTAAACTTGAGGATCTGCAGCTTTAGCAGCCTTGCATGCAATGATCTCTGATGCACTGTGTATTTTAGGTATACAACTGTTAATGACATCAAGCTGTATTAAGGTTTTTAAATCAATTTAAGGAAACGCTAGGAGGAAGTAGAACATACAGTAATGCCACTGACAAGCCTGCCCCGTCATTTGCTGCACATTCCTCCGAGTGAGATGGTTGAAAGAAGGTCTGCATACTTCTCCACTTTCTTTTGCTAATAAGAAAGACATCTAATGCTATTTTTAAATATTTTGACGCTGCGAAAAACAGAATCATGGTGTGCAAACTAAAGAGCCTCCACCCATCACATATATCAAGTCAAAGATGTTTTAGTTCACAGCTGGCAGCTATGAGCATAAAGTCTGTTAAGCTGCAGGCAGACTACATGAGGAGATAACCTGTTGATCTCAAACGGCAGAAAGGAGAAATGCTTTGCACAGGAAGCATTTCAAAACAAACTCTAATTTGCGTGGGAGTCGATTCTAAGCTTCTCTTTCAGCTCGAAGCGCTTCAGCATCAGATGAGCTTTTATTGTGTCAGTGCTGCCAGAAAAGTTTCATTTTCATCAATGTCAAACACTTATAAATATTATAGATTATTTATCAGCAGTTTCTTTCCCGATATGGCCTCTCTCAGCTCTTTATTCATTCCTATTTCTTTTCCTTCTAACACAACAGATGTGGGGGGAAGTGTTCACTTGTTGCCTATTGTGTTCTAGCTACTAACACGTGTAAAGGTTACTGCCTTTATCCCACAGTGGTCATGGTATTCTGCATATATTATAGTGTGGGTGTGTGTATGCAAAATATTAAAACAAGAATTGTTTTTGCTCTTCTCAGGCTGTCGACAAACTGGAGAAACATATCCAAGAAATGGACGACGGCAGCTACATCGAGTTTGATGTGCCGGAGTTCAGTAACACAGTTCTGACCCAACTCAACGAGCTGCGGCTGCAAGGGAAGCTGTGCGACATCATCGTCCACATTCAGGGCCAGCCATTTCGAGCTCACAAGGCCGTCCTGGCGGCCAGTTCACCCTACTTCCGTGACCACTCAGCCCTCAACACCATGAGTGGCCTTTCCATTTCAGTCATCAAAAGCCCTGAGGTGTTTGAGCAGCTCCTCGCATTCTGCTACACGGGTCACATGTCCCTCCAGCTCAAGGATATTATCAGCTTCCTCACGGCGGCCAGCTTTTTGCAGATGCAGGCAATCATCGACAAGTGCACCCAGATCCTGGAGAGCATCCATTCCAAGATCAGCCTCCCAGTTAATGCTTGTAGCCCAGATAAAGACAGCTCGCAAATCAGTCGCAATGGTGTAAACGACAGCAACCTGTTCATAAACCCTACCCAGATCTCCCCCCCTTATTTCCCCCGGCAGAGCCAGGGAGTCGGCGAAGCTCGGTCGGAACAAGCAGGCAAAGGCCAGGGCCGGGTGCGGCAGCAGCAAGAGGAGGGGCAATCAGATCGTGGCAGTAGCGACGGCGTGTCAGAGCATGACGCAGTCATCGAAGGTGAAACCGAGCAAATAGAACTGATTGGCAAAGATGGGCAAGTCACAGATGTGCATGTGAAGGTAGAAAAAAACGACAGGCCATCTTGCTCAGATAGTTCCTCGGCTGGCGACGATGGTTACCACACAGAGTTTGTGGACGGAGAACAAATTGTGGCCGTAACCGTGGGTTCCTACGGCCCAGTCATCCAGCCTGCTGCCTATTCTTACTCAGGGCTGTCCTCCTCCTCCTTCGTCAACCTCAGCAACTCCAGTCCTTCTCGCTCCATCCTCAGTGGCTTCAGAGGCGGGAGAGCCCGATCAAAGCGCCCAGTGGCTATCCCGGCAGGGGTCCTGAGTCAAATGAAACCCGCTTCGGACGACGCCGAATCAGCCGTGGGCTCCGCGGGGTTGGAGAATGACGTACGAGAGCGCAGCCTCCGGAGCCAGTGGTACCCGTACAACGAAAGACTCATCTGCATCTACTGTGGAAAGACCTTCAATCAGAAAGGGAGTCTGGACCGCCACATGCGCCTGCACATGGGAATTACCCCATTTGTTTGTAAGTTCTGCGGCAAGAAGTACACGAGGAAAGACCAGCTGGAGTACCACATCCGTGGCCACACAGACAATAAGCCCTTCCACTGTCAGATCTGTGGTAAATGCTTCCCATTCCAGGGCACCCTTAATCAACACCTGCGGAAGAAGCACATGGGAGCGTCAGAGGCTAGCAATCACACGGACTCTCCGGAGAGAACCGAGGATAGCTCAGGTCAAAAGGACCAGGGAGACACACCAGAGGGGATGGCCTATGAGGCGCAGTATGCGGAAGAGGCACCAGCCAATGAGATGGAGGAGAGTTCAAAATGCAGTCCAGAGGAGGCTCAGGCATCGAGATGTGATTTTTAAGGTCCTGCTTCAGGTTATGGAAGCTTTAAGATATGATTAGTTCAACTCAATCTAAAGGACTCGCCTTTTTTTTTTTTTTTGGAATCCCTCTGCTACGAACCTTTCTTGATACAAGCGTTTCTGTCAGTTTTTTTTGTAAAATTGATGCAGAGAATGAGTGAAAGAAAGTGGATGCTTTATTATAGAAATTCTTTCAAGCAAAGGGAGTCACAACGTACTATTTTTGAGGTGGTCCCAATAATCAAGACCTCCAGTTGATTGCTCTTTTTATCTTTCCATGTTTTTTAAAAAAGAAAAAAATATTTACAGAGTTATATAGGCATGTTGCAATAATTGATAATGTGAAAGCTCTGGTAAGATGCTTGTCATATCACCTTTTTACCTGACCTGTTTTTGCACATGTGGCCACTGGAGGTCACTTACTCACAAGGAATGATTTTTCTGCCAGTGCAAAGCTTCGTGTGACATATCCGTTTAATACCTCATGTTGCAACTACATACTCATAACAGACAGTATTTTAACTTCAGTGAAACTCACCGGGTTCTACCTCATAGCCAAGAACCTAGCCGGCACAGACGTGTTCACCGTTTGAAATCCGTTTTAGCTTTTATGTACAGTTTATCTTATTGCCAAACGCTGTAACACTTATCCTTTTTACACAAAGCCTTGATACTAGGGTGGGAAATATTCCTTGCTGATTGTATGGATTAGGGACAAAGTCCTTGTCAAATGTCTACCGTCAGCCAGGTTAAAATTATGATCAAGAAGGTGCTATGTTAGGAGTGCATTAAATCTACTAGCTTACTTGTGTGCTTCTGGCAAATATTGCGGACAAATTAATCGACTGGCCCTGTTATGATTTTCAAAATACGTTTTTACTTTCCGTCTGGCGATACTTGCTTTACGAAAACACTTCAGGATTTTATCCCACACATCACTACTGGAAGTCTCACTCAGTTGGTCCAGGTGTGGTTTTAGATACTGTCACCCATGAAATGGGTGAACTATGTCCACGAAGTAAAGTCACATGTATACCTCTTTACCCTGCAGGCTAATTTACAATGAATTAACATATGTGTGTGTGTTTTATAAAGAGGAAGGCTTCCAATGTAATACTCAGTATCTGACAGAGACAAGTGTAGTTGCTGTTAACTAAGCACAGCTTAGGGACCAGCTTGAACAATATGCAAAAAGAATGAACAAAGGAATCTCAGCCATTGCCTCATGGTTAATATCCCATCATTTATAAAAGCTCATTTTGTTTTCTTGTGTTTGTTGGGAACCCATTTAGGAGTGTGTTCCTCTGTGTCATCGTCTTAGATGTGGCATAGCTGAATTAAGGTTAAAAGATAAATATGTGGAAATGTGGTCAGTTTTTAAAAAAAAGTATTAGTGCACTTTGCAGAGTTAGGTTTCAGCTTAGTGCCAGCCCACCGATTAAAAGAGCAGAACTTTGTTTTGTTGTTCTTGATGCATATTTGGAGTATAACTTCAGTCAGAGAAAAGTACAACAACTTTGTTGCCATTCTGAAATCGTATAAATACTATTGGCTTAAAGTCATGCATGTGGCATGACTTTTTTATTTTTATTTTTTACCTATACTCATTGTGTTATTTGGGATCAGGGAAGGGGATCTTATTATGTATAAAAAGGCGCTTAAAGTGCCAAACTAACTGTTTGCGAGTTTAAAACTTAGCCGGGTGGTTCTGTTTGTGCTACTCTGCTTCTTTATTTGCCATCCAGCTGTTAAATGCCTTTTTTTTGTGTGTGTGTGTGCGTGTGTGTGTGTGTGTATTTTTAAAGAACACCCACTATAGACTTTGATTTTCTCCTATCTGGGCCATATGTTGAATTTTATGCCAATGAATTGAAAATTGATTACCTTATAGTTTATCTCATATAATTTCCATAATTATTGTACGTTTGGTGGAAGATTCTGTTATTTGCTTTTGCCTAAAATTACGTGAGCTTTTTATTTTGTTACTTCTCTGAATGTCCTTGCGTCATCTTTACGCTTTTAACGGAGGAGATAGTGACACCAAAATGTGGAGAATTTCTCTGAAATCAGCATGGCTCGCTTTACTTTAGCAGTGTGTACAAACAAAGCGCACGCTTTCACTTATCACAAGCAGTCTGTCAGCCTATAAATGTTTACCAAGTACAATTTTATATCTGTCAAACGCTGATCTGACCTCATCAATACAAGTTGCTGACTAACATAAATTTTTACCATGATCTTTACCAGTCTAAAAGTAAAACATCCATACCCGTTAGAATCATCTGTTGAATGACAAGTAAAAAAAAAAAAAAAAACTGTTAAATTAATCTTGTGCCAAGACATTACACCAAAGACTAATAGGTGATTTTTAGAGTCCGTTTTGATTATACTAGCTTAATTCTCAGTAATATAGGATAAGGTGATTGCTATTTGCAAGTTTGGTTTCTCAGCTTATAACAATCAATTGTGAAAGATTTAAAGAACATTTTCAATAGGTAAGTCAGTAATGTTATATTTTAAGCCATAGAAAAGTTCAATAGGTTTCGTAATTATTAAGTCTGCAAAAAGAACAAAAAGAGAGAGAGAGAGAACAGAGTGGCATCCTAAACCTCGTGCCTTGCCACAAGCTTTATACTTTAGATCCTGGCACTTGGAAATGTGCCTCTTTCTTGAGAATATGAAATAAAATGGCCACAACTAAAATTAGTGTCTTGCCCAACAATCAACATCAAATTGCTTCGTCACCTGACAGCCAGTCATTTCCAGCGTATTTCACTCATGGTGTCAGAACACAATGCAGTGCATAGTTGTGAAGTGGAAGGAACACGATGTAAAGTACAAAACCTGAAAAGTGTGGTGTGCATTTCGTACCTACCCAGCTCAGTGGATAATCTGTTGACGTTGATTTTACCTTGAGGCGTGTCTCTACCACTGTTGCGTTTCAGATCCTGCCAACAGTTTACTGGTGGATTGAAATCTACTTTTTGGTTTTGAACATGTTAATCATCCTGCTGTGACTCAGGCTGTGTTCAGTCTTTTGCAACATCCAATTACTTCTTTTGCTAATTAAGTGTCCCCACACCATGATTCTGCCACCACCATATTTCACCATGCAGATTAAGTGTTCAGGGTGATATGCAGTGATACACAAGGCATTTTACAGAGCATATTCTTTCACTTGTTTTCATAGCTTGTTGCCAACGTTGAACTGAATTTACTTTTTAAAAAAAAAAAGGTCATAGCATCTCCATAAACACCAGATTTGAGGATAGTGTTGCTAATAGTTGTCCCGGCAACACAAGCACTCACCTGAGCCGTGGTTATCTGTAACTCCACCAGGAATTGTTTAAAATAAAAAAAAATAAAAAACACACATCTAAGTGCCACTCCTCAAATTTCTCTCTCTACATATAAAGATACTTCCTTCTATTTCACAACTACATACTACATTGTTTCAATTTGGAAAAAAAATCTCTATAAATTGCACAGTGATTTCTGGTTGTAGTGTGGTAAATTATTCAAAAGGTTACGAATACAATATTAAGGCACTGTAAAAGTGTGTACCAAGAATGAGTTGGACCTAAATTTAATCTTTGTATTGGACTCAGCTAAATCTGGTCTCTAACTTTCACCGAGTCTTTTTTTTCTTTCAGTCTGTTTTTTATGGGGGGACATGGGGACGGGCCGTTGATTTTAACTGATCTTTGTAGCAGTTGATCACAATCAAACAAGGCAGACTTGTTTCCAACAAGCCAACCGACGGGCCCGTGTTCGCAGACTGTACTCGGACAATCTGAGTTATGCACTGTATTTGAAGCATTTCAGTGAAGGAAGATGATGCATGAAAAACAACAGTCTACTTCCTTTTTTTTTTTTTTTGTTATATTGGTGCAGGAAACTGCCTGAATATTCAGCAGATAATTAATGAATATTTGTGAGAGGGGGGGGAAAAAAAAAAAAAAAAAAAAGCTTATCCTCATATACTGTAGCCAAATTGCACGTTGCTCAGCCAGAAAATTATAAAAATGCTAACTGATAGATTTAACTTAAGTTTTCTTGTAATTGTTTCATTGACTGTGCACTTATATTTGTCAAAACTACATACCAGTTCCAACCGGAAAGTCTACTTTATCTCCTTATTTACATCTAAGGAACTCAGTAATAGTTCCCACAGTTATTTTTGGTAAGTAGGTAGGGATGTTGTTCCCTTAAGTGGTGCTTTTAGCTTATTAAATTATGTATTCATGATTGGTGAATGGAGGCAGAATTGTTTAAAGGCTTTTTATTTTATTTTTTTTTAAATAAACCATAGCTACTTCTTAGATAGTACACACTTCCAGAACCAACTGAACTTGAAACACTCTCAGATTGGCTCTTTGTCAGTTTTTAGGTCCACCTCTTCGAAAAGGAACCGGAGATGCATTTTGGGCCACAAGTAATCAAAAGGAAGTGTTTACAAGGAAGGCTGTCAGACTACTTCTTTTTAAAATTGCAGCTCGTCCTATTCCTTTTATAATAAACTCACTTCAGGTAGTTAACGAACACTGATACAGGCTTAAAACAAAAAATCACAAGTCTTCCATAGCTTTTCAGTCAGTTTCTGTCCACTGTGTATTATTGAAAGAAAAGCAATAACCTCTTTTTTTTTAATTATTTGAGAGAGTGATTGTGGGGTAATGGGATCATCAAGCCTAATGAAATATTGGCCTGTCATGTATCAAACACAACAATGTCAGGGAGCGGATGAGCTGAAGTAGGACCAGGACGATTTTAATGTTGCTTTATCTTTATTATTTTTTTTTCTTTTTTTTTTTTATAATACTTTGGATGGTTTGACTTTTTACTTTTCACAACAACAATGACAGCAACAACAAAAAAAAAAGAATATTCGATCAAAGTTTTTGTTGTTAGAGAGATGTTTCAGATGCTCATCGAGATGCAGAGGCAGTCGGTGAACTGCAGCAGAAACTGGGCGCTCAGCGGCACCGTTTATGGAGGTGCACGTCCAGCTGAGTGAAACAACGAAAGGGATTTTCGGGCTGTTTCGCCACTGTTATGGAGCGCGGGGCCGCCTGTCGAATATGTTGAGGTTCGGCGATCTCCGGCGGCTCCTCGGGATTCAAAGCTGTAGTTCAGGATCGGAGGAGAACAGTTCCTCCTAAGGTTTTCCGCCCTGCCCCTACACTCTGCACTATAAAGTGTCTGACTCTCATGTATCTATTGACAAGGCAAAAAAAAAAAATCAAAAACCTTGAACTCAGGGTATATATATATATATATTGATTGATATCCTTGGACACAGACTTCGTGTCTGTAGCCTAAACGTTCGCTTCTCCTCGGGCGGGGAACCCAGTCTTCAGTCCCCACACGTTCTGCCTCATGCTCTCAGTGAGCCCTTATGTCCCACAGAGCTAAAACCCGAGGCCCGCCGGAGACCACGAACCGAACCGTGACAGCAGAATCGACCCGGCTCCAGTTTGTTTTTGTTTTTTGTTTTTTTTGTCCACTCTATACACACAACCTCACAACCCAACTGTGAACCTCAGAACTCTACTGTTTTGTACAACTATGAAGTAAATGAAGCTAGCTACAGCTATAGACGTTGTATCTATTGCCATTTATGAATTTATTTTATAGCATGAAATAGATATATTTATTCAAATTATATATTTTACTCATAATCATTCTGTGCTGCTTCATTTTGGTTCTTAAGCTTGTAAATTGCCTTTTTATTATCTGAAAAAAAAAAATGTCCATAGAATAATGCGTTTGTAAAATAAAGACGCTGATTTGGCTTTGTTTTGTCTTTTCTTTGCATACAAGTTGAAGTTGGTGAGTTTATTATGCATTAATATCTGCTTGCAAATATCTAATGATTAGAAAAAATTCTGGAGTTCAATGCTTTGGATCAGCATTCATGTACAGGTGCGGCTCAATACATTCGAAGAGTAAGATATATTTTAGTAATTCAATTTAAAAAATAATAATTCACAAATATAGTTTTATTACACTGAGTGCTATATCAAGCTTTTTTTAAGGTAAGATTAGAATTTTACATGAAAGCCATGAATGGGATTTTTATTCCAGAAATGTCTGGACAACCATGAGGAAAAAAAAGTCATTAACACCCTGCAAAGAGGTTAAGTTAAAATAGATTGCTGAAGAAGACAGTTGTTCAAAGTGCTATATTTATGTAATACTACTGGAAAATTGAGTGGAAGGTAGAAAAGCAGGGTAAAAATCCACAAACAAAATGGATAATTCAAAGCCCATTTAGGATTTTTTGGGGGAAGTTCAGTAGATGTGGAGTTGGAGCTTCAAGAGTCACCACTCGGGTTTTTGTTTGCTTTTTTTCTTGCATTTTTGCCTTAAAGCTCCGCTTTTTAATCGGTTTGAGTTAATATTTGAATTTTCAGAAATCATTTCGGGTATTCATTAGCTGCTACAAGCAATAAAAACAGACACAAAAGCTTCACGTCTAACACCGTGTGTGATAAAAGTATGCTTTAAAATTTCTTAAGCTGAAGTACTGAAATATGCTAGTTGTTTGAAAGTATTGGATTTATTGCACCTGTTATAACACAATGAGCGTGAATGAGAAAGTAAGTATGTATATGTGCAGCTTGGCCCTCCAGAGGGAGCTAGAGAATCATTTTTCAGAAGAGCAGCATTCATCACCTTCGGCCTTCAGTGACTGTGTTTTAATTCCACTCCTAAAATAATGATTAAAACTAAATACAAATCCAGAGTGATAATTAGCAACTTTTGCTTGTTAGATCGCAGATATTCAGAAGCAGTTTTCTTCGCCTTCCCAGATAAAACCGTGCCCTTGGAAATATTGTGATCGGTCCAAGTCACAGAGGCCAAGTAGCAGTGTATAAAACAATAAACGGCATTAGTCCCAGATGCCTGGTGATAAAACGTGAATTTATCACCGGTCTTGATGGTTTTCCGGCTAAATTCTTTACATAATTTTTGCCAATGTTACTTTTCCTGTCCCTGCTGTGTCAGAAAAAAATGCATCCGAGGGGAGAAACACTTTAACTGCACGGCACATGTGGTAGGACTCAAAGGGCATTATGTTCACTATTTTTTTTTTTTTTAACAGAATCAAGTGTCTCATAAATCACCATTTGCAGCTGCATGCTACATTAATATAATGCTAACTATAGTGTTTCTTCTTCCCCTCAGTTAGTTCCTTCGCTCTGCAAAATGGGATGTAAAATTTGCATCATTTAATGCATAAAAAAAAAAAAAGAAAAAATCGAATAAAGTTCATGAATTGACAGTGTTATGGGATCGTAAGCACATGCGATCCTGAAATAACAGCCTAAAAAATCTCTGCTTGGAGGAATAAGAGTTTTAAAAGGAACCACTAAACACAAGGCCAGGAACCCAGAGGTTGCTGTGTTTCCACAAGGATCTTTAAATACAGTATGATGTGATGCGGGTTTTTAACACCGACGTGGACGGATCTGAGAAACTCTGATTATTGTGTCACGCTTTCCCTGAAATGCAACTTTTGAAAGGACACTTTCATGTCTGTTCGACTTTGAGGCGATCCTATGACAGCTGCTTTGAAGTGCTGTGGGGAAAAAAAAAAAAAAAGTATCTGTACTCTTGAGATTATTCCTGTTTTTGATATAAATTGCAGTTTTCATCATTGGGGGAAAAAAAAAAAAAAGCAATAATAAGCTTTTCTTGGGGGAGTGAATTTGCTGGCGTGCTTTGAATCATTGTCCTCCTGCATTACCAAAGCACTTTTAAGCTTAACGTCTGAATTTGATGGCCAGACATTCTCCTTCTGGAAATACAAATGCTGCTGTTATATCAAATGATAGCACAGTCATTATTTGGACACAAAGGGAATATCACTGTTCAGTAGTAGGGGACGTGAACCTGTTTTATATTGCCAAAACTTTGATTGGCATGCTAAGAGCTGACTGACTAGCTGACTGATTAACAAGTTAATATCAACTTACAAAGCTCAGAGCAACACAAAGATAAAATATTTGGCACAATAAGCACATCCCTCTGAAAATTGATACTAAATTTAAAATACTAAAATGAACTGTGATGAGCAACAAACGCATGCTGTGGAAAATGTTATCGTACTCTAAAAAAATGAACCCGGTTTATTGTTTTACCCACAACAGCATCAAGATGTTGCTTGTCTGTATTATTTATTTTTTATTTTTTTAATTCTTTCTTTACATTTCAAGGAAGTGGAAAAGCAGGAGAACACAGATGAGTTTCTCCTCCTACACACAAAATGTTAAATTTAAGTCTTCTGGTCCTCAGGTCCGTTTTGTCCCGGGTGGAATTCCTTTCGCAGCCCGATCAGTCTCACAAAATAGTTGTGACAGGTAGGGAAGGTTAACCTTTGACTCCAGTTAAAAACTTCCAGTGGCTTCTGGCGTGCCTGCGCCAAGTGTGACAGAATGGAAAACATTTCAAGATGGAAATGTGCGAAAAGGAAAAACATAATTTCCTCCAAAGCAGTAGCACATTATCCACAACCGAGTCGATTTGAAGCAGTTATGTATTTGTAACGTTAGCCGGCAGCTAGGTAATGCTACATGACAGAACAGATCCAATAACGTAGGAAAACACTGAAACAGAATAGGTTGAACCTTATGTGTTGTGCCGTGACTACAAATGCCACGTCTGTGTGTTTGTCTTGACCACAAGTTTGACATTTTGGTCTATACCGAAAAGTAACTCTATATTGGCCAAACCCATCTAATTAATCAAATTCGGGTGATTTAGTCACTAGGAATGCAGATGACTTTGACAAACCTTTATGAATGAATGAATGAAGTCCAGTTGTTGCCGCTAAGTATGGTACAATTCATCTTTAGTTTTAAGGCGCTACTATGTTTTTCTGCAGACAGATTAGAATAACTTTTTACCTTTAATAAATAAAATCCACTATTGATTTTTGATTTTGCTCAGGTTAACTCTGTCTCATTTAAAATCTCGACAAAAGATAAGCAAAGTGGGAAAAAAATGTGAACAGAACAAGTCTGTAGAGAGTCTTATAACTTAGCTGAATTTGTTTTCTGCCCATTTTATTCTTTTTTAGTATAAACAATTAGAAGTGTTCAGTCAAATCGTGGAAAACTTGCAACTTAATCTCAGCGTGTTTTCTCAGTTTAACTCAAAGAGTTAAAGGTTAACGTATTGAGGTTAATCGTATTGAGGTTTATCTAAACTCCAGTAATTGTGGCTCATATTTTAGTCAGTAATTGTCCTTTGTTAAATTTCTTTGACAGCTGATTTTAGATGCAAGTTGTAGCATTTAGTTTGATTTTTTTTTTTTTTCTGCAGCTGGGATATCGAACAGTGGAGTGAGAAGAATGTGGCTTCTTACAGATTTCGGTAACACTTTATTTGAAGGGGTTGAATAAGACTGACATGACACTGTCATAAACACCTGTGCAATTACTGATTGCACTTTAAAAATTAGGTAACTTTATGTTATTAAATGTAAAGTTTAAACAGTAATGATTTCCTGGTT